CACCTCCTCTGGCCAGTGTCACCCTCCCACCCCCATCTCCCAGGTGCTGGGCTCTTGTTCAGAACTGTGCAACTTAGGACAAAGCTCAAAGTTCTTTTTGGGAAACCTCAGTTTTTCCTCCTGTAAAATGGGCCTCCTAATCTATAAAGCCATCCCTGGCTGAAGTCTCTGGACTCTCGGGCAGAGCTAGTAGATGCCCAAGACCCTCACACAGGCCTCAACACCAGCATCACCTGGGGCTCTGGCTGAACATGCAGGCGGCTCCCCCCAACACCCACCTCTCCTGACTGAATCTTCAAAGCTGTTAAATGAGCCCCCCAAGCGACTCTCAGCATCAGGTGAGGCCAGGGACAGTGGTGCCAGTGGACTGGGAGACTCTTGGTAAAGTGCAAAAGAAAACCAACCAATGAAAAGGACTCTTGTTGGTGATGACAGTGCACCTGAGCACGTGAGTGTGTGTGTGTGTGTGAGCGCACGTGCGTGGTCTCCTCCGCCAGATTGTGAGTAGCTGGAGGCTGGGCCGGCTGGGTTTCACCTCTGCCAGCCCTGGTGAGCCCAGGGCCACTCCACACTTGATCTTCCCTGTTGCCGCTGCTCTTTGCAGCACCCCGGGGCACGGGCACTTTTGCCCCGTTCTATAGATAAGGAAACTGAGGCTCTGAGAGGAGACACGACCTGGCCCAAGGTTACCCAGTGAGTGAGTGACAGCCAGGACTGAACCCAGGACAAGGCTAGCGCTCCTTTATATCCACTTACTGAAGTGAAAAGGGGGCTGAGAACTGAAGGTGAGGGCTGGCAGGTGCATTACCTGGGGCCTCTGGGGCAGGGAGCTGAGTGGGTATATGTGATCCTGGAGGGACAAGCATCAGAGAGAGCCCCCTACCCTGGGAGTGGGACACACAAAGGAAGCGAGGACCTGGTTTTGAAGCCTGGCAAAGGGCAGAGTCCAGCTGAGCAGACCTCAGGCAGCTTCTCCAAGGACAGGGACGAGGTGCAGGCACACCGCCTGGGACTCGGGGACCCCCTGGCTGTCACCCTGGCAGTCACTTTTTTCTAAGGTGGAGGCAGCAGGTGGGGTCTTTCCAAAAGAAACCCCTGTCCTTTAAATGCCAGCCGCCCAAGCACAAAGCCCTGGTGGGGTCAGCTTTGCCAGTGACAGCTGCTTGACCAAGGCAAGGCCTGCCCTCTCTGGGCTATGGCTTAGACCCTCCAACCAGGAGACCCCAAGCCTGGAGGTGCAGTGTCCTGTCCCTCCCCACACACGTGTACACACAACCCTCTCTCCCTCAGCGAAGGCAGTCTCCCCAGCAGAAGAAAACGTACGTCATCAATAAACCCTGTGTGCCTCAGTTTCCTCAAATGTAGAATGGGGACAGTAATAGTGAATGGGGACCTGCCTCTTAGGGCTGCTGAGATTAAATAAGCGAGTATGTACAGACCACTCAGAACAGCACCTGGACAACGTGTGTACTATCAGCATCAGGATGGTGAACAAACTCGCGCACGTTCTCCCTGAGACCAGCGGCAGCCTGGACTCACAGCCAAGGCCCTCCTGGGCATCTCCTGTGTGCCAGGCCTACTGGGAACCTGACAGATACCCCACAGAGCCAGGACCAGGGTCAACCAGCTATGAGACTCGGGGTGTCACCCTAACACCCCTGCCCCCTCTTATTCCAACTTCCTGTCCTCTTCCACAGTGGGTGGGACTGGTGGACCCTGGGGCCCCCTGGGTTGGTACTCCCTGGGGATCTGAGCTTGGATATGGAAACCTTCCTCACCTCCCTGGCCTAGTCTCGGGGTGCGATTAGAGAGCACTTCAGGCAGCTCCCCATACAAGGTGCTGGTACCCTTCGGGCCCCTGGGTGGTGGCACCTGCCAAGCAGGGGAGGTGGAAGTTACAGGGGCTGGACCTGAACTTGAGAGCAGACAAAGGCTTTGCTGCTGGGAAATGGGGCTACAGAGTGGCCGTGACAACCCATGGCGTGAACTGCAGACCAGCTAATCAAAGAGTGGCCAAGCAGCCTCCCTCCATTCCCCTGGTCACAGCCAGAGACCCTGGGCAGCAGTCAAGAAAACCTTCATGGGGGGAAGGTGGTCTCGCTGGTGTCCCCCAGGATGGCTGAAGCTGCAGAAATCAGATTCTGTGACCCCTCAACTCCTGGCAGCCTCGAAAGCCCAAGGATCCTAGCTGGAGGTCCCTGGGTATGTGAGACCCCTCTCCCGGCCATCACTGAGTGACAGACCAACCCAGGAGCCCAATGCCCAGAGTTTACAGATGAGGAAACTGAGGCCTGAAAGGGAAAGGGGCTTGCCAGGAGGCTCAGGGTGACCCTGCTTCCTGAGCTGTAAGTGGCGGCCAAGAGCAGCCTCGACCTCCCAGGGTGGAAGGGCCCCCGCGTAAGCTGATGCAGGTGGGCCGCTCCGCATGGGGCGGGCACACAGACAGGTGATATCACCATGTCCTGCGTGAGGACGAGCGTCTGTTCACACTGAGGCTGGTCTTGGGGAAGGGCCGAGCAGCAGGAAGGCGAGTCACAGCGAGGGCTGGGGTGGTTCTCAGAGCTTCTACTCCGAGCTGCCCAACACCAGGCGGGGCCAACTGGGATGAAACCTCCTCCAGCCCGTGGTGCAGTGAGAGGCTAAGCCTGGAGGCTGCCAGGGCTCTTTCTTAGACACATGTGCCCCCACCTTCTGAAACTGCAGCCTTCCTATTTGGAGGGAAGGTTAAAATTGTCTTTCCTTCACAGCATCGGAGTGAGACCAGATGGTCACTTTCACAGAACTGCTGTGAAGGGGTAAAATGACAGGTGTACGGCCTGAGGGTGGGCCACTCCGCTCCACAACCCCAATTTGATTTTTGAACATGCACTAGCTCATGAAATTCAGCACCATCATCTGGCCTAATGTGCCCATTTTACAGGTGGGGAAACTGAGGCCCAGGTGCACGAGCTTCAGTCTCTAAGGTTTCAGCTCTGAGCTCTCCACAGCCAGGGCCCCTTCCCGCCAGCTGCTGCTGTTTGGATGCCTTGGACCAGATCGACTCCTTACTTATTTGAGGATCCTTTCCCAGGCTCAGGAAATCCAGAGCCTCAAGTTCCATGGAGGCCCCTGACCCCAAGGGAATGCCGTGTCTCTTCACCCGGCGACCTACTTGCAGTCAGCTCCGGGGCTGAGAGGCTCCATCAAGCAAGGATTTGGGCTAAGGAGGTGGGTAAACAGAGGGTCCCACTGGTGGTCTGGGGTGGGTGACCTGGTAGAGCAGTTCCAGCCAGGGGAGCCATGGCCTGCTCCGAGCTGGATGCCTCTGAGGAAGATCTTCCTCCCACCAGGCCCCCAGCGGGACCACTGGGTCAAAACTTGTAAGCACTGAAGGGCTCCCACATTTGTCTCCTGCTCCCGCTTTGGGGCAGTCTCCCTGAACACCATCTCCTAGGCGACTGCAGCTGTTGGAGACCTCACAGGCTTGAATCATAGAAGACAGCCCAGGGTGGTTCTCTAAGGGGACAGGGGCTCTGTAAGCAAACAGAGACACAGGTGGACAAGCAAATGTGACTTACCCCAGGCACTGGGAAATGGGACGCCATCGGGGGCCAGAGAGAGTACAGAAGATGCCCAGCACCTCGGCTCTGGGTCTCAGAATATTTGCTCATGAGGTCACAATGTCCCTTCCAACACAGCCCAGGTGCCCAGAGACTTCGTTCTCCAGAAAAATGCCACCAATTAGGAACATCCCTTAGCAGAACCAAAGCCAGAGAGAGGAGGGTTCCTTGATCACAGAGCTTACCGTCTCTACACACCATTGCCTGCAAGACCCTAGCCTGTCACAGCTTGGTGCATTTTTACAGGCCATTCCAGGCCCTGGAATGCACAGCTCCACTCTTCTCCATCCTCAAATGCCACCTCCTCCAGGAAGACTTCCCTGACCATCCCCTCCCTGCCCATCCCCCAGCGGAACGAGGTGCTCATCCCTCAGCTGTAATCCTCGTGTCTTCTTCCTCCCCTGGTCTGGGGGCTCTAGTGCAGGGGTTCCGGCTTCCTCCCAGGCGGTAGCGAATGAGGAGCCTGGTCTACCACTGTCATAGCAACACTTTGTTCTAATTCCAGCTGTTCTTACAACCTGGAAACAATAATAATTGCGGCTGACATTATGTACCTGGCACTGTGTTGGCCACTTGATATGATTCTAGCTAACAGTAACTTTTTAAAAACATGCTAAATAATTTTATTTCCTTAAATCACTTTTCAC